GGCAGCTGTATTCAGGTACCACTCACTGTGTCAAGGGCACGTCAGAGGTGGCCAAGGGCACAGCTGGACTAGCCTTCCCTGCCCCCAAGGCTCTTGCTTTCTGCTGGGGGAGATCAGGCCAAGCTAGCACGTGCAAATAAGAAGACACGTCAGACTCACGTGAGTGCTGGTGGAAAAGCCACGGGCGGCGGAGAAGCCCCTGGTTCTCGTCCCAGCCCCAGCAATGGCGGGCGAGGCTTTGATCTTGAGCATGTCATATCACCTTCCCAGGTGTCGGAGTCTCATCAATGTCCTCTGCTCCATAAGACTCCACGGCCAAATGGGTCCTCAGGCCTGGCACCTCACTTCTTCGTTAGGATTGTCTTCTTTTTTGAGGTGTAGGGAAGGTCAGCTCAGGTGTTGCGAGAGCTTGGGCCAGTTATGACCCCTTGATGCACTTTGCAGCTCCTCTATTATGACAGATGGTCAGACTGTGAGACACCCAACACCTATCTCGGTCCTTGGGGGGCAGTGGAGGCAGGATGTTGGGGAGCACAGGTGTGGAGATGGGTGGCATGTTTGACTTCTGCGTGTTGGGCGTGCCCAGCACAGCTGGACCTCACTTGGCCCCCGCTGGCTGTGTGGAGGATATGAAGGTGCAGGCAAAAGGCATGCCTAGCTCTCCTCAGTGTGGACAGCAGCTCTGACTGCTTAGGACGGATGTGGAGGCGCTCTACACAGGAGGAGGGGACTGAGGACAACACCGCAGTCTGTGTGCAGGAACGTGGGTCCTGCCTGGTGCCAGCCACAGGACTTGGCAGTGCCTACTAGGTACCAGTGGGGATTTGGGGGTCATTTGTGTAGTTTCCCCAGATCCTATAGTCAGAAGGTCCCCAGGACTTAGAGAAGGCTCATCTGCCGATGCGAGCTCCTGGTGGCTGTGGCAGCCTCAGGCAGGGCCCTGCCTTCTCGGGCCAGATGGGGCTGCTCCTGAGATGGGGCAGCCCCAGGCTCACGGCTTTTCCCCTTTCTCATGCTGTGTCCCTCTTCCCGGTGTCTTGGGAGTCTCTTGGCTGACAGTTAGCTGAGC